TTCCACACTCACGGTCAAAGTCGGCCAGCATTTGTGCCGCTTGGCTGATGTTTGGTGTTATTAAAACAATGTCATCAGCAAAGCGGAGGTGGTGTAGTTGCCAACCATCTAACTTCACTCCCATTCCTTCCCATTCCAGTCGTCGCATGATGTTCTCGAGGGTGGCACTGAAGAATTTCGGTGAAATGGTATCACCCTGCCGCACCCCTCTCTTGACATCAACGATCACTTTTTTGTTTTTTTTTTCATAAAAACACTAACAGTCTCTACATAATACATACTCAGGGGTGAAGGGCATTCCTCTTGAATAGGAAATAGACATGTAATCCCAACATGTTTCCCCACTACCTAAAAGTAAATATTTGGGGCTGGAGTGATAGCACAGCGGGTAGGGCATTTGCGTTGCACGCAGCCAACCCGAGTTTAATTCCCAGCATCCCATATGGTCCCCCAAGCACTGCCAGGAGTGATTCCTGAGTGCAGAGCCAGGAGTAAACCCTGAGCATCGCCAGGTGTGAACCAAAAAGCTGAAAGTAAGTATTTTCCATCAATTATCAGTCAAAATAGCCTAAATTGAAGAAGTGATAATCATTAATATGAAGATTTTTGAGCTCCCAGCCAAATAACCTACGATAATAAACTAAATAACAGATAAGACCTTAACTAGCTCTAGCATAGAGTGAAGGCATAATGATATGATGAAACCACGGCCTGTGTCATTTTCTGGGGAAAGAGCATGGCAGGGCCACTCTTTGCTGGACTGTGTGTTGCCTCTATGAGGGCATAGCAACAACACTAGAATCACAGCAAATTTGGTGGGACAGTTGCATAGAAGACCAGCAAGCTCACTGGGCAAAAACAATAATATAAAGGCTTAACTAGCACCAAACAAGCCCAGTAAATCCTCAATAACTTCAGTAACACCATTGTGAGATAGAGCAAAGATCAAAAATTGACTTTTATTGCTCTAAGTTTTGATAATTCCATTTGCCTTTGTGTTGTAACAAACAATATGAAGTAGGGCTAGAGCGATAGCACAGCGGGTAGGGCATTTACCTTGCACACGGCTGACCCGGGTTCAGTTCCCAGCATCCCATATGGTCCCCTGAGCACCGCCAGGAGTAATTCCTGAGTGCATGAGCCAGGAGTAACCCCTGTGCAACGCCAGGTGTGACCCAAAAAAGAAAAAAAAACCCAATATGAAATAAATTTGTTTGTGCCTGCTAAGGGGACAGGCTAGGGTGGTGGAAGGTCACAGTGGTGATGGGATTGGGATTGGAACATTTAATGACTGAAACAACTGTACTGTCAACAACTTGGCAAATCATGACGTTATAATAATTTTTTTTCTTTTTGGGTCACACCCAGCGATGCTCAGGATGTTGCTCCTGGCTCTGCGCTCAGGAATTACTCCTGGGAGTGCTTGGGGGATCATATAGGATGCCGGGGATTGAACCCAGGTCGGCCGCTTGCAAGGCAAACGCCCTACCAGCTGTACAACTGCTCAGCCCCATAATAAAAATTTTTTAAAGAAAAAAGAGAAAGTGTTGAGTTGAACTTTTGAAAAGTGAAGAATAATTGTACATTAATATCTGGCTGCTGAAGTCATTTAAATAAACAAACACACGCTTTTAAGTCTATTTCCTTTCTCTAGCATTGTTCTGTGATCACAGAGATGCTGTGTCATTCTGCAAAATCAAACTACAAAACTGAAATGTTTGGTGGTTGTAATTACCATAAGCATGAATTTCTTGATGTTTAAGAGTTGAGAAAGCCTCTGTTTTATTGAATGACTGTGAGATATACAGTTACAAAGCTGTTCATGATTGAATTTCAGTCACACAATGTTCCAACACCCATCCCTTTCCCAGTGCACATTTGCCACCACCAATGTCCAAGTTTCCGTTTCCCTCCTGCCCTCCTCCCCCTGTTCCACCTGCACAGCCTACCTCTATGGCAGACACTTTTCTCTTTCATTTTTCTTTTAGACTCTCTTCATACTGTAATATCCTGAAAATATAAGCAAATGAACACAGTAAATGAAAATACTTTTGTTAACTGTAATGTAAGGTAATATTGAAATAAAAACTTTAAAATAGCCGGACTGATGATACAGTGGGCAGGGCATTTGTCTTGCACATGACCAACCCAGGTTGATCCCCAGCATCCCATATGGTCCCCAAAAGCAAAAACAATATATATATGTACATATATATATATATGCAAGTTATATTGTTGATTCCAGGGGGCTAACTATAAAGACTCAGTACTGCTTTTGTTGCATTCCATAAGCTCTAATGTATCATGTCTTCATTTTTATTTATCTCCAGGTTTATTTTTAATCCCATCTTTGATTTCTTCACTGAGCCAATAGCTATTCAAAATCAAATCATTTACTTTTTCCAAGTTTGCCATTCCTCCCCCCGCCCCACCCCTTTTGGAGAGGTTCCAATTTAATGTACTCAGTCTTGTCTTGTGTCCCAACATATGGCTTATCTGTAATTATGATTTGTGAGTACTTGGAAAGGATGCGTATTCTGGTGTTTTACTGTGGAATGCTCTTTATCCATCTAGTTTGTCACTGTTGATTGCCTGTTTCCTTGGTAACTTTCTGTCTGATCTATAAATTAATTGCTGCAAGTTGGAATGTCAAAGTTCCCTATTCATTGTGCTATTATGTCTCCTTTTGATCTGTTAATATTAGTCTGATATACCACAAATCTATTATGTGGAAATTAATAATTTTGTCTTCCTGTTACATTGGTTCTTCTCTCATTAAATAATGTCCTTATATAACGTGCATTTTTTGTTTGCTGCTATTTCTTTTGGTTAGATGTCTATTTTTTGTCTGATGTAAGTATAGTAGTTCCTAAGTTTTCCATTGACTAATTTTTCCATTGACTAAGTTTTTACATTTTGGGGACCACTCCAAGTAGTTGAGGGACCAGGTGGTGCCAGGGATCAAACTCAGGGCTCTTCTATGCAAAGCATGTACTCCAGCCCTTTGAGATATCTCTGGCCTATCTTAAAATCTTGATTTTATTAGTGTCTTGGTGTAGGTCTCTTTGCATTTAAATACCAAGTACTTAATGGTAAGGTGGCTCAGTAGAGCACATATTTTGCATGGAGTACCCCCAGGCTCAATCTTCTGTACTATATGGCTCCCCAGGACTATTAAGACTATACTTCCCAGCATAGAGCTGAAAGTAGCCCCAGAGTACAGCTAAGTATAACCAAAAAGCGAAACAAATAAATAAGTAGCCAACTACTCCTTTGTCTTCATGGACTTGACTATTTAGTTTCACCTCTACAGATTTGGAAAGGGTTCTATAATTACTCTTAACAAGGTTCTCTCTTCCTCTTTCCTACCCCCATTTTTTAATTTTGGGGGCGCACCCAGCAATGTTCAGGGGTTACTCCTGGCTCTGCACTCAAATATTACTCCTGGCAGTGCTCTGGGGACCATATGGTATGCTAGAGCTCGAACCCAAGTTGGCTGTATGCAAGGTGAGCATCTTACCTGCTGTACTATCTCTGCCTCTCTCTCTCTTCCCCTTCTAAGATACCTATTAGTCTTATGCTGCCTTTCCTCAAGCAGTTAGAGAATTCCCTAACAGAATTTTTTTCAGATTTGTTTACATCATTTTTTCTGCAATATGCATATTTGGCACTATAGCACTGCCCTCCCATTGTTCATCAATTTGCTCGAGTGGACACCAGTAATGTCTCCATTGTGAGACTTCTTGTTACTGTTTTTGGCATATGGGATACGCCACGGGGAGCTTGCCAGGCTCTGCCATGTGGGCGGGATACTCTTAGTACCTTGCTGGGCTTTCTGAGAGGGACAGAGAAAATGAACCTGGGTCGGCCACATAGAAGGCAAAGGCTCTACCCACTGTGCTATTGCTCCAGTCCAATAAGCATTATTTGTGCCTAAATATAGTACTTCAAACTACCTCATATGGTTTCCCATTTGGTCTATTCTATCTCCTTAGCATTCTCTAAAACTTTTGGTCTGCCATGAGCTCTTCATATTCTGAATGGGCTATTTCTTGTTTACAGCATTAATGTCTACCCTCTTCTTGTCAATTTTACTTCTAAACTCACTAATTTTATTGTGGCTTGCCATAATTCTGATTATCTTTTCTGAGCTTTATCACCTTGAGCTACCCTTCTTAGTCTTCTTCTACATCGTTTTGAATTTACTGTATCAATCTTACCTCTATCTATAATCTCATGCCATTGTTTTCTCCTTGTGATGTTATATCCTTGAAGTCTCTGGTTGATATGTGTATATTTCTGGTCAGTACATTTTAATACTCTAAACTGTCATTATTTAATTAATTTTAACTTTTTAATTTTTTTTTAACTTTCCCAAAAGGTGGTGGTATCTTAAGTTTTATTTTACTTGATTTTTTTTCCTGGCCTTTCCCAGCTTCTGTAGAACTGGAATTTTGTATTCAGTTAGTGTCAGTAAGGTGGAGGAATGGGCACAGGAGAGTCCATCATTATCAAAAATGTGCTGAAACTTGGGGGGTGGGAGAGTACCTAAATTTGTATTTGACACACTACTCTTCTCTCTCATCTCTGGGGATTCAGGTAATATGACAAAACCCACTTTCGGTGCATTTCCCAAAGTATTTCTCTTTCCTTTATCCACTGAAGCAGGATTCTCCTTTGTCTTCTTATGAACAGTTTGTGTTAAGTCAGTGAGGGGTAGGGGGTGCCTGAGACTCCCTCAGCCTCAGTGCCCAGGTTCATGTAGTTTATTAATTGATCCTACAGTTTGTGGAGCAAGAAACCTCCTCCCATCTCCAGGAGTGAGCAAGTCTTGTCAAATCACCTACATGAATGGTTATCCAATACTGATTTGGTTACTTCATAAATTACTTAAACAGGGGTGCAATTTTGTAAGCGGAAGTAAGTAACTTAAACAAATGAATACTCTCTCAAACTGCTCAAGGGCTCTGGTTTAAAAATAAGTATAGGCACTATTTATGGAAAATTCTTACTTTATTTTGTAAAAAGTAATATTTTGAGTATATACTTGAACAATGCAAGTACAACAAGAAGCACTGAGTAAAAAATACCCTGCTTTATGAACTTATTTTTAAACAGTGAAGGCCTACTGCTCATGGAAGATAGAAATATGTGATTGAATTATAAAACATAACATGTAAGCGTAAACACACAACTAAACAATTGTGAAAAAATAGAGGATTAATCAAAATATTCTGTTTAAAAATATTAATTTCTAGTTACATGGAATTTTATGCACAAAATAATATAATAATTAGAATGACTCTTCAATGGTCACTTCTAAAAATCAAATACTAACTTTAGTTAAAAAGTTAACTTTTAATTTTTTTTAAAGTACTTCCCAAATTTCACTAATGACATTAAAATAAAATACTTGAACAATTCAGTCCAAAAACATGTCATATAGTGCTTACTCTAAGAAACCTTATGATGTACAAATAAACTGACTAATGGAAAAGATTAAGAAAAGCCAATCTAAGAAAAGTTCAATTAAGTGAGCATCAAAGTGTAATAAAGTATTGCCTTCCTTTTTCTCCTGCCCATTTCTTTTCATAATGCCTTCGCAGCCCGAGTGTATCCTGTAGGCATTTCACCTTGATCTACATTTTCTCTCAAATTTCCAGCAGATATGAGATAGCACCAGGAAGAAGTAACATTACCAGACAATAATATCTAAGCCCAAACTCCCCCCTAGTCCTAGGTTGCAGTAAAAGTTAAAGTACCTTGGGTCTGTAAATTATTTCAGCAACAAAGAACACTTCTCTAAGTGATGATTTTGCAGGAATGTTTTGTTGTCATAATGCCAATTAACCATTTTAAAAATAATTTTTTAAAAACCTAAATTCACTGTCCATAGATTATCATTTGGAAGAGGGGGAAATGAGAAATAAATAGTGACCCAACCACTTTTAAAACTCCCTCCTACTTTACACAATTAGTTTTCCACCTAATCATCCTACATAGAAACTTGTTTTCACCACTAACAATAAACACTGCCACTTATCGCATCAGAGACTGGAAGCAGTGGGAGGCAAAAACCCAACTGAAAATCCATTTCTGTCAATCAGTCTGGCCCTGCCCATTCTCAGTCTGTAGGCCCAAAGCGCTGGGGTCTTCAGGGGCCGGCTCTGGGGCAGATGACCTTCTGGCAGTGCAGGAAGGTAGGGAAGGCCCAGCAGCACACAGTGGAGTCCGCTTTAGTTTAATGACTCGGTGTGGGGTGGCCTTGTCTGTGAGCATGACCTTGGCTGGAGGTGTGTGTGAGGCTCCATTTTCAGCAGCACCAGACCCAGGCGACCCAGTGCCCACTTTCAACAGGGCAGAACTCTGAGCTGCCTTGGCACTTGGAGATGGGCTTGCAATGACTGGAGACACCTTGACCGAAGCTGAGTTCTTGACTTTGATTTGGGTGCTGGTGGAAGGGCCCAAAAATCTGACTGGTTTAGGACCAATCTTACAGTTCACACCTTCTCCCTCTTCGTTGAAGGCTACCAGGCGCCTGTAAATACAAAAGTACATGAATGTCAGCATTTACAGGTACAGTCCCTAATGAAAACTCTCCAAAGATTGGCTTCAGGGTGAGCAAAAAAGCTTCCATCAAGAGCATGAATCTAGAGCTTACAAGTATCAATCTACCTCATCTCTCATCTCCAAGCAAAAGCACGAGTAAACTAAGCAAGTGTACAGAGGTAGATTTGGCTTAAATACAAACTCTTCTAAAATCACGTAATTTTATGACCAACAACTTAAATATTGGAGTGTTTCATGAGAATTTGACAAAACAACTCTGTCTCCAGGAATCCTCATGTGAGTTGCACGAGAAATGCTGCTACATATACTACTGTCCTGTTGAGATTTGAAAATCTGCATTAACAAATGAATGCTTCTGAGAAGACCTGCAATAAGGATGAAAGTTTAATTTTGTTGCATTCATGTTTCCCAGTCATTCTGCAATGAGACCTTCATAAAACTAGCTTTCCAGGGGAACTGCCAGGACATCAAATTCATGGTCCAGCTGGAATTTGAGAAGTACAGGACAAACCTTCGAAGATTCCTGCACTGAGTCTACTATTCAACACAAAAAGTGTAAAGGGAACCCATTGTTTTAAATGGTCTTGAAACTGTTAACCAACTACTATCAAAGGCTTGCTTGTACCTTCTCCAGCTGCAATCAGCTTCATTCCATGACTTCTCCAACCCACAAAACAGAGGGTGAGTTTCACATAGTGAACTCTGATCTTGGACTCAATATCATGGTGATTTGAATATCACTTTATGTACCAAAGTGCATGACTACCACTCACTCTAACACTCTCCTGAGCACAATTCATTTTTCTCAGATGGGTCAGAGGGCTCAACAGGACACGTAAATGGTCCAGAATCACTGTTTAGATAACTGTTGAGGCATCAAAATGATGTTTTATAAAATCCCAGGGGAAAAACAATGACAAGAGCACAATCCCCATAAAACCATTTCTGTCTGCTTTGCTTACTAGCCTTATCATCCACCAGATGGTAGGCAAGAGTGTCCTGACCTTGGCACCACTGCCATTGGGGCTCAGATTATTCTCTCCACTGCCCTGCACATTCAAGTATACTGAGAAGTATCCCTGGCAGCAGCATCTCCAGTTCCATAGAGCTGTAACCAAAACTGTCTCCTAATATTGTCAAATATTCCATTCCCTGGGGGCACTACTCACCCGCCTCTAGTTGAGTGCCATGACTCTAGACCCAAATAATATTTTCTGACTATAGGTTCCAGAGGCAAAATAAATGATGATAATAAAACAAGGGCCTTTAAGCATAAAAGATAGGTTTTAATAAAGGATGATTAACTACTAAAAATGGAACATATTTCTCTATTTCTCTCTGAAAAATCCTGAGAACAAATGTAAGAAAGTATTCTGTAATTCCATAGGACCAATGAATCAAATTCTAAACTGGGTGATTAAAAAATTAGAACATCTACAAATAGTACCCAAAGTACTAAGAAGTATTTTTTAAATGAATTTGAAGAAATAAAAGTTTAAATGTATTTAAATGTAAAAGACACAGGTGTGGAGAATAATTTAGAAAGCACCATATAACAAAAATGGGTGTGTGTGGCAATCTGTAGAAAAAAGAATTCAGAATAAATCACAGGAAATTTAAAACATTGAAGTTTACTTAAGGGGGTGCAGTGCCCCCAGCAGATCAACCTGTACCTATGGGGCGAGTACATCAGCAGCCTTCAGGATTTCTGATACCCCAAAATTGCTGCTTTGACTTTGATCAGACCCCAACAGCTCGAGATCAACTTTCCTGAGAAATTAAACAGCCAAAACTTAGGTATGTGGGAGACACACCTACAAACAATCTCTGACTCAGATATATAAGCTCATTTATCGGCCTTGCTTCAGAAGACCCATAAATAAATCTAGAAAGAGATCAAAAGCCACAGTTAATCTTGGATCCAAACAAGGCTGAGCAGACAAGGGTAAGTCAGAGGGGCACAGTTCAGCCTGGTGCCTACCCAAGCAGAGCTTCTGGCAGCTGGTTGCTCCCACAATCCAAAATTGCTGCCATGCCCTCGGCCAGACTCTATCATCTTGGGATGGACCTCACAGAGATGTAATATGCTGAAAATTCAGGTATGCCGGTTTTGTGACTGAAATCTCCAGGCTTTTTCAGGGTCAAGATGGGCTACCGCCTCCCATCTCCCTTTACTTCTAGAAGCCTAAGCAGTCATGTCCACACCCCAAGTTGCCACCCACTTAACAAAAGTTACTCCTGTCCAATAAAAAGTGAATGCCCTGAACAAACACAATGACCTCTTAGTACCTGTACTGTAAACCATAACGCACAAAAAGAGAGAGAGAGAGGCAAGCTGGGGTGTTGAGGGATTGTGGAAGGGAATTGGGGGATATTGGTGATGGGAAATGTACATTGGTGGAGAGATAGGTGTTGGATCATTGTATAACCGAAACCCAGTCATGTACAGTCATGTACAGTTTTTAAAGGTCTATCTCATGGATATTCAATTTGAAAAATTGTTTAAAACAATTAATAAGGGGACTAAAGAAATAGCACAGAGACTTAGTCATGTGCCTTGCACACAGCTGACCTAAATTCAACCCCTGGAACCCCACATGGTCCCACAGCCCTGCTAGGAGTGATTCCTGTGTGCAGAGTCAGGGGTAAGGACTGAGCTCCTCTGGGTGAGGTCCAAAATCAAAATAATAATAATAATAATATTAATAAATGTTGGGACTATTACCAAGATAGAAAGGGAATTCACCACTTTGAGGAGGGAAAATGTCACACATATAGGACCACTGTGTCTGCCAGTATTTTGTGACTGGGGGGGTAAGTTCCTGGGGTGGTTCTCAGGTCTGAGGCTCCCTCCCAGCAGTTCTTGCCAAGCAGGCCAGCAGTTCAATGCAAGAGCCCTATGATGCAGTGTTGCTTGGGCTCTGCAATGTCTGGGATACCCAGGCCACCCCAGAAGTGCGAGGACACCTTGAGTGCTACACCCATTTATCCTGGAGGACCCATGCAGTGTCAGAGACCAATTCAGGGTTAGCTCTTATTCCCTGTACTGTCTCTCTGACCCCTCACCCCCAAAAAATAATTTTTTTTGGAAGTGCCAGAGATGGTATCCTGGGCCTCACACATACAAGTCATGCTCTACCACTAAGCTACAACCCAGGTTCCACTAGTCCTTTGAAAATCACACACTTGGGCTAGAGCAATAGCACAGCGGGTAGGGCGTTTGCCTTGCACGCGGCCGACCCGGGTTCGATTCCCAGCATCCCATATGGTCCCCTGAGCACCGCCAGGGGCAATTCCTGAGCACAGAGCCAGGAGTAACCCCTGTGCATTGCTGCGTGTGACCCAAAAAGAAAAAAAGAAAAAAAAAGAAAAAGAAAATCACACACTTTTCCCAAAAGAATATACTATATAATCAACTTTAGAGAATAAGAATTTTTACATCATTTTGATACTTCTCACTTAAGATTTACTTTTTTGATGGTAAGACAGAACATTCATCCAGAAGATAAGTATAGTAAAGTCAGACACCATCATGTACTCTCCCTTTAGAAAGGTAGTAAAATGTAGTAAAATTTATCAACAGCACAAATAACCTCTTCCGAATTGGGGCCATGTGACGCAGGCTTCCAAGTAACGGTCGCTCCTCCAGAGTCCAACATTCTATCAACTCATGAGGCACGCGCCAGTAGCTAATACCTGGAAGGGAAAAAGACACAATGAAGAGAGCCACTGTTCATTACTACAATGTCCGACAAGAATAATCAGAAACAATGTAAGGTTCATACCTTCGCTGTGACTCAGGATGGTACACACACCACAATACAAAGTGCCCCCATGAAGAGCCAGTGTAGCAGTGGCACAGCTCATGACCTTTTCTAAGAGCTGGCTGATCCCCAATCTTGTCACTGAGCAGCTGAGAACAGTTGGCAGGTCTTGCCTGGGAACTGGGCAGCTATATGTGAGCTGGTGAGAGACAGGCTCAGACTCTATATTCAGGCCTGCCTGGTCTGACTCTGACTTGGTCACTCATAATCACGGGATGGAGGGAAATTTACCAAACTTTCCCAAGCCTAAATTTTCCCATCTGTAAAGTGATGACAATAACAGGACATACATGACAGAATTAATTGTTCTTTAACTAAGTAATGAAAGCAAAATGCTTATGATAAGGTATGGCAGAGACTAAGCACTGGAGATGCTAAGTGCCTTGCATGCAGTCGCAATATTGTGGTGGTGTATGCATTTGACAGGAGGGTTAATATGTCTTCCCATCTTTCACTGGGTTTCATCTAAATATGAAAGGACAGGGGCTGGAGCAATAGCACAGTGGGTAGGGCGTTTGCCATGCACGCGGCCAACCCAGATTCGATTCCCAGCATCCCATATGGTCCCCTGAACACTGCCAGGAGTAATTCCTGAGTGCAGAGCCAGGAGTAACCCCTGTGCATCACCGGATGTGACCCAAAAAAAAGGAAAAAAAAAGAAAGGGCAAATGATGTTCACTCACGTTTATCTTAATTTTTAATTCTGGTTCCTGAATGAAATCTGAAAACATATTTTTATGAATCTTGACAACATTAGACTAAGTGAAAGAAGTCATACACAAAAGGTCACGTATCATATGATTCCAATTATATGAAATATCTGGAATCAACAGATCCAAGGAAATAGAAAGCGGATTAGTGACTGCCAGGAGCTAGTGGGAGATAATTTCTTAAAGAGTACTGGGTTTCTTTGGTAGACAATAGAAATGTTTTTAATTTGACAATGTATATGTACTTTTATTGTACAGATTTTGCATTTTACTTCAATTTTTTTTAAAAAAGCCCCTAAACTATAGGCACTAAGAGGCTTACATTCAAGTCATAATTTTTACCCAGCTTATAATACTGAATAAAATAGTATAATCTGACATTAAAAATTAGTCATCTTGGGGCTGGAGCACAGCGGGTAGGGCATTTGCCTTGCATGCAGCCGACCAGGGTTCGATTCCAGTATCCCAAATGGTCCCCTGAGCATTGCTGGGGGTAATTCCTGAGTGCAGAGCTCGGAGTAACCCCTGAGCATCACTGGGTGAGACCCAAAAAGCAAGAAAAAAAAATTAGTCATCTTTAAGTCCAAGAATGGACTTAGTATCTTCTTTTTTTTTTAATCATTAAAGTTCTGACAATAGACAGCATTCAGCCGAAGAGAAGGACAACATGGAGGGCGGGATCCACAGATCCCGAAGGAAAAAAAAAAAAAAAACAGGTTCCAAAAAGAACCGAGATCATCGGGAAGCCCCAGATGGGGTAAGTACCGCATCCCGCCTCCCCCAGATGGAACCCCGGTGACCAGAAGCCTCTACAAACACAGCTCGAGTATGCGGGAACTAGGACTTTTCCTCAAAACCGCGCGGCCGCGACATCTCTCTATATACAAAGTGATCCAAGGGAAGTAAACCACCCAACGTTTCTCTCTGAAAATCATAGTTAAGTTTGGAGCACGGCCACAGCCCCAGAAACACAAGGACTTAATGCATAACCCAGCAGCTTGGAGCAGAAAAGTGAACGGGCTATGCATTAATCCAGGCCATCATGACTGTCCGGAGGGGAAAGGGTGTTGCCCCATTCGCCCTCTCCTCTCTGGAAAGAAAGATGGCGGCCACATGGGAGCCTTGTGGACAGCAGGTATGAGCCGGGGGTGTGGGGGCGACTAAAACCTCATGGGAAAGGGGGCGTTCCGGTCCGTCCTTCACGCCCTAACGAGGTCACCAGTTGCCCCCTGCGAGCGGCTCTCCAGCACGGCCACGGCCCCAGAAGTACAAGGACTTAATGCAGAACCCAGCAGCTTGGAGCAGAAAAGTGAAAGGACCATGCGTTAATCCAGGCCATCAAGTCTGCCGGAGGAGAAAGGGTGTTGCCCCATTCGCCCTCTCTTCTCTGGAAAGGATGGCGGCTGCATGGGAGCCTTGTGGACAGCAGGTATGAGCCGGGGGAGTGGGGGCGACTAAAACCTCATGGGAAGGGGGGCGTTCCGGTCCATCCTTCACGCCCTACCGAGGTCACCAGTTGCCCCCCGCGAGCGGCTCTTCAGCACGGCCACGGCCCCAGAAGCACAAGGACTTAATTCAGAACCCGGCAGCTTGGAGCAGAAAAGTGAAGGGACTATGCGTTAATCCAGGCCATCAGGTCTGTCCGGAGGGGAAAGGGTGTTGCCCCAGTCGCCTTCTCCTCTCTGGAAAGAAAGATGGCGGCCGCATGGGAGCCTTGTGGACAGCAGGTATGAGCCGGGGGACTGGGGGCGACTAAAACCTCATGGGAAGGGGGGCGTTTCGGTCTGCCCTTCATGCCCTACCGAGGCCACCAGTTGCCCCCCACTAGCGGCTCTCCAGCACGGCCACGACTCCAGAGCACAGAAACCAATTTCTTAACTATCTGACTTTCAGTAGAAATACTTCCAGGGTCAATAAGTAAAATAGCAGAAATCCAAAACCAACATATAATTCTTGAACCCAGCTGTAGAAAGCAAATCACTTCACAATGCTTTGTCAGCATGTCTGATTTGGGGGTGGGGGGGTAAACTCTAAATAATAGTGGTGAATCTTTTATTGAAAAAATGAATCTAATCAAAGCAGATAGAGTGTTAACTAGAATTCATCTGCCCCACAGGGACTGGGAGGGGTGGGGGGTGGGGTTTTATTGGGGTTCTTCATGGTAAAAAATAAGTTTTGGTAAAGGGAAATGTGCTTGATATTTGCATGACTGAGACCTAAACCTGAAAGCTTTGTAACCTTTCCCATGGTGATTCAATAAAAAAAAAAAAAAAAGTTCTGACAATAACACTAAGTCAGCATCAAAGTATAAATAGATACAGAATATAAATATACAATATAAATAACACGGCTAGTACTCAAAGAATGCTATGAATTTAATAAAACAAAACTTCCAGAACTGCCAGATAATGATCACAAACCTATTGGTAATATTGAAAAGCATTACCATATTTCATCTGTTAGGTTTGTTTAAGGGCTGGAGTGATAGCACAGCAGGTAGGACATTTGCCTTGCACGCAGCCCACATGGTCGACCCGAGTTCGATTCCTCCATCCCTCTCAGAGAGCCCGGCAAGCTACCGAGAGTATCTCGCCCACACGGCAAAGCCTGGCAAGCTACCCATGACATACTCGATATGCCAAACACAGTAACAACAAAGTCTCATGATGGAGACGTTACTGGGCCCACTCGAGCAAATCGATGAACAACAGGAAGACAGTGACAGGTTTGTTTAAAATTAAGTTAATGGGATCAAGCTTGCATACAATAAAATTTAACATTCAAAATTAATTTTTAATTGTAGTTTAGTCATTATGTTTACAATATTATTAACATTTACAGTTTTTTTGTTTGTTTTGCTTTTTGGGTCACACCTGAGGATGCACAGGGGTTATTCCTGGCTCTGCACTCAGGAATTACCCCTGGCGGTGCTCAGGGGACTATATGGGATGCTGGGAATTGAACCCGGGTTGGCCGCGTGCAAGGCAAACGCCCTACCCGCTGTGCTATTGCCCCAGCCCCCTAACATTTACAGTTTTGATGTACACGTTACCATACTTCACCACCCATTTTATAATTAAATAGGTGCTCGAGATAGAATACAGGGCCTCACACATGAAAAGCAAGTGCTGTATCACTGAGCTATAAACCTCAACCCTAAAATTCACCTATTTTAAGCATTTTAAGTACTTAGTTCAATACTTAAACCTATTAAATATTTACCTATTTTAAGTATTTAAGTTCCATGAACTTTGATAAATAAGAGTCATGTGATCAAAATCATAACGAAGGAGATAACAGAACATTCCAATCCCTAAAAGTTACTGACATTTCCCACTCTTGTCTTTCCTAAAATGTGATAATGAAACCAAACAGGATTTAGCCTTTTGTATCTAGCTTCTTTAGTCTGATGCTTTGAAGTTTAATCCACGTTAATGACCATGTATTTATTCCTAAGTAATATACCATTCGCTTTACCGGATAAAACTGCGTGGGTGGTCGTGCGAGACCTGGTCGTGCGAGGGCTGGAGCGATAGCACAGCGGGCAGGGCGTCTGCCTTGCACGCAGCCAACATGGCCGACCCGAGTTCGATTCCTCCGCCCCTCTCGGAGAGCCCGGCAAGCTACCGAGAGTATTCGATATGCCAGACACAGTAACAACAAAGTCTCCAATGGAGACGTTACTGGGCCCGCTCGAGCAGGGCCTCTACTAATATACCATTGTATAAATACAATGCTATTCATTTAAAAATATTTCTTTTCCTGGGAACCATTTAAAAAAATTAATTAAATTAAAAAAAATTTTTACTGACTATGAAAGTTAATTCAGAAGCTGGGGAGATGGCTCAAAGAAATGGAGGTCATGTTTGATATATGTAAACCTGGAATTTAATCTCTGGCACCTTATGATCCCCAAGTACCACTGGGAGTAACCAGAAGACTATAAGGCACCTCTCCTCCAAAAATAAGTCACATTGTACAAAATTAGAGAACAGAAAAAAGCACATATAGAAACATCAAAATCTCTAAAATTAGGAATCACATTTTTGTATACTTCATTTCATAGTCTTTTCTAGTCCTATTTAATTAGTACCTAATTAAAAAATCTTTACAATTAATCTTGTTTCCTTTTCATCTGTATGAAAACTAACTCAAAACATTT